TGTTGTTTAAGTGTTCCCTTCATTTTTTTGAGCAGTGTATATCTATATCTATCTAGATAGATAGATATCTATGTAGATATCTAGATAGATATAGATCAAGGGTCCTCAAACTTGGCAAATTTAAGACTTGTGAACTTCAACTCCCAGAATTCCTGAGCTAACATGACTGGAGGAGGAATTCTGAGAATTGAAGTCCACAAGTCTTAAAGCTGTCAAGTTTGAAGGCCCCTGATATAGATGCTGCTGGCTGCTCTCAGCAAGTTTAATCTGTTGCTATCAGATGGGTTGTTTTAATTCCATTGTCTACCTCAACAACTTTAAGATGTGGGGGCTGGGGAATTCTGAGAGTTGGAGTCCCACATGTTAAAACAGCGGAGATTGAGTAACACTGGGACTTAGAGACTTGGACTTTGAATAACTTTGTCACTTTGAATGTACACTAATCGGCATACATTAAAATGAAGTTTCGTTTCATACAAAATGTAGACACAGTGAATCGATGAGCATTTCGAAATAAAAAGTATTAGATTACTCCCAAGGAGGGCGAATGATTTTTTATTACTCCTAAGTGAGGGGAAGGTACCAGATTTTTCTTGTGGCAAAACAAAAATGATAGTGTATATCAGGAAAACATCTTTGATAGAGCTTTATATAATTGTTTTGAAAGAAACTCACTGTTGATTGTCAATTTTGTGTGCGCTTGGACAAGCAAAACAAAGCAGTTAGAAAGCTCATCAGAAAACTGACAAGATTATTTTGTAAATTGGGATTCAAAGGATGCTGTTACTGCAGCAGCAAAGAATGTGATAGCAGGTCACATTCATAGGAATCAGAGTAGTTGCAGTTCAATGGATTGTCCAACTGTTTTGCTGAAAAAGCTATTCCTTGCTTTCGACATAGTCCCAACATTTCAAACTCTTGAAATTAAGACAGGAGGAATGGCTAACTTTGTAAATTATACTGCATTTAACTGATGCTCTTCTGAAAGCATTTGAAGAAAATTGCATACTGTATTCTGGAATTGTTTCTACAGATGGAAGAAATCATGATTCAGTAAAATTATTTCCAGTCATCATCCTGTATTTTGACTGGAAGAACAGCAGTGTGCAGTCAAAATTAATTGGGGTTCAGAATACTCTTGATGCTGTGGATATGATTGCTGTGGGGATAAAGGGACACCTTAAATAGAAGGCTTTGTTTGATTCACGCATTACACTTATAGGTGATAAATGCTTATAAAGTTTGGGGACTAAAGTTTATGATGAAAGGGGTTGCAAATATTCAGTTGTTGTAGACTTCCTCTTTAATCTGTCTCATCACAGGTTATCCAGCAGGAGTTTTGAACAATTACATTCATCCTGTGGTAGAATCAATGGATGTTGACAACTCTGGATGAGCATTTTTTAAAAATTCTATCAAAATTTCCTGTTGTCCCAGCCTGACAGCTGATGAATATGAGTTGATCCTGAAAGCTGTTTTCTCACAAGACACGATGGCTGTCATTATTCTCAGGAATTACAAAGCTAATCCAGATGTTTCTGATATCATATTGTAGTCATTCTTGTAGTAACAGTTGAGAAAAATACCACCATGATTAAGACATTCAACCATGCATACAGTGAAATATACTCCAGACAATTCATGTTTTCTTAAGGATATTCCAATCACACATTAAAAAAAAATTTCTTTTTGAAAGGGAAAATTTACATCATTTCTCTTGAATGTAAGGCTTTCTTATCAGCTAAACTTAAGGAAGCCTGGATCAAAAACACATAGAACAATCTGAGAAAGAGAGTGTGCTAAATTCTGTCCTCTGATAAATTATCTGTAGCAACCTATGCTTATAATGGGGGAAAGGACCATAAATTTACAAATGAAAACATGTACATGGCACATTAAATAAAGCAGACTGTCTCCAAAGTATCATCTTTTTGAAAGTTCAAGTATGACAACCCAGTTGCATTCATGCTGTAAAAAAATAGTCTTCTGTGGTCAAGAATTGGATTAAACAATTATTTAAAAAATGTTCCCTCAGTAATTTGAAGTGATATCAAATGAACGCATAGTAACAGTGCAAAACTGTTCATCATAATACCAGGCATTATGGTTCATCATGGGATGCAACTTAGAAAAAGAGAAGCAGAGCTAGTAAAATTTCAGCTGACCTCTGTAGTCACTATTGAGAAGACCAGAGTGTCTTTCCATCAAGTCCAGCGTTTTGTTTTTTGGCAAAGGCTGAACATATGGGAAGTTGATTAGAATAGGACCTGGAAATAACTGCCATTAAAGTGCAGGGCAAGTCTAAGATCAGGTACACAGGGAGATTACCCCAAAGCCCTACCTTTCTTCTACCTAGATAGATAATGTTGTCCTCTTAAAAATGAAGGCAGAAGTTGGGCATAGGGGGTAGGCAAAGATGAGATAAATCTTGTGTTAAGGTATTGAAATTTAAGAGTTGACCAGTTGCTGTAAGGCTGATGCAATTGAAGATGAATCAGCATTGGTACTGCCCTTTTAAGACAAAGAATGACTCCACAGAAGTCTTTACCCCTTTAAGAGGTATTTATATAAGGCTGACATTATAGTGTTCTCTCTCCTTGTGTCCGGTATCCATTGCAGAGTTCTCTGTGTAGAGTTAACAAGATTGATTGCTTGTAAGGTATTTGCCTACCACGTATATTTCTGTATGTGTCTTGTATATAAAACACTGTTAAATGTCTAAGTCTCTGTGTGCTGTGTTTTGCTCCTGGGTTGCCTGATAATAGTAGTCACGCTGAAAATGCTCTGACAGCTTGAATTGCATTGGTGAGCAACTGAGACACTTCCCATTTTTAGCAGAGCTACTCTGGTGCTTTAACATAGAACATAGAATCATAGAGCTGGAAGGGACCTTGGAGATCTTCTAGTCCAACCCTCTGCTCAAGGCAGGAAACTTTATACCATCGCACTCAAATGGTCAGTCTATTTTTGAAAACTTCCAGTGATGGAGCACCCACAACTCTGGAAGTCAAGCTCTTCCATTAATTGTTCCGTCAGAATTTTTTTCCCATTACTTCTAGGTTGGGTCTCTCTTTAACAAGCTTCCATCCATTACTTCTTGTCCTACTCTTTGGTGCTTCTCTTTCCACTTCTCTGTGACAGCCCCTCAAGCAGTGGGAGACAAGTGTTATATCCCAATCTTTCTCTTTGATGGGCTTAGACCTATCTAGCTCTTTCAACCATTCATCATCCAAGAGCTAGAATGTCCAGCTTTGGGAAAGGCCCCAATCCCATCTTCTACTTTGGAACAACTGGTTTGGCCTTTATTGGAAAAAGAACCTGATTCTGAATGGCCTCCACATTTTCTGAATCTCTTTCTGGGGTAGCGGAGACTGTGAGCTACCATTCATTAGGGTGGGGTTGCATCTCGGGATGACCGTCACTCAATAATTTCTATTGATCTGAGAATGGTGAGAAATATCCTTCACTCGTATTCATTTAAAACCCATCAGCACAGGACCCCACCCGCTATTTTTGTGTATTTGTTTAATGAATAATCAAGCATCTAGAAATATTTAAAAATGGGAAAGATTATTTAGGTGCCTAGTGAGATTCCCTATCCTTTGCAGAAGATGCAACGGTGGACCTTCCACAACCAGTCTACTGGGCTGGTTGAAGCCTCAAACTAGGAATGGGGAGACCCAGATTTCCCATTTTGGACCAGATGCTCTAAGCCCAACCTACTTCAAGAAAGGATTCCTGTGGGGTGGAAGAATACAAGGAGGAAGTGCTATGGATGCACTCTGATCTCTTGAATTAAAGGCGAGAAAAATCCAGGGCTGGGCTGCTGGGGTTTTGCAGGGGTTCAGGAGAGCCCCTAGCTAAGATTCTGGGCAGTTCAGAGAGCCCCCAAATCCCACTCCTGGCTGCCCCCCACCCCACCCCTCCCAGGAGTCCCCACCCCTCCCATTTTGGATGTAGGTAAGTGCAGGGCACACACGGAGGCTCAGAAGGGCGAAAAACAGGCCTCTCGGAAGTTCAAGAAGGCTGGAAATGTGCTTATTTCTGGCTTCTAGAGAGCCTCCAGAGTCCAGGGAGGGCAAAAATGCAGGAGGCCGATTAGGCCACGCCCACCGTGGCCATGCCCACCCAGCAACCAGGCAGAGAACCCTTTGCTAAAAGTTTTGAAGCCCACCCCTGAAGACCTGGTGTAATGGTTTATTTATTTTGTGGCAATAAATATGGTTTCAGCTATCGAAAACTGTTTTTGAGGATTAATGGGTGGGAATTAATTGAAAAAGCAGGCACCGTATCAATTATGATAACCTATCCATGAAGTTAGATTGACAGATACTTATCTTCATTTTGGAAAACTAGACAAAGTGTGGTTGACCAAAAGAAATAAAGCAGTGTGTGTGTGGAGCGATATGATTTATAGCCGTAATGCTGCATCTGAGATAGCTGGTTCATAACATGAATCAACCGTCAACAATAAACAGACACGCGTGAATCAATCACTCAATCTCTACATTCCCAACAATTGCTTTACACATTAAGCTTTTTAATTAAGGAAGGGCTCTCTCAAGTTACATTTGTCATAACCCAACGTAACATAGGCAAAACAATGAAAGATATATTCATCAGAGGGAAGGAAGGAAATAGGTGGTAAACATGTCATCAGCTGATGTGTTCCTGATGTTCCCCTAGGCATCAATGAAGCATAGGTATCTGCATGCAACAGCTGACAAATCCGTGCAGTTGGATCTTCTTACACATCATTTCCATATTGCATGTTTAAATGTCAGAATCCTAAATCATCTCTGCAGATACACACGCACACGCACACACACAAACCCAGGACATAAAAGGAAGCTTGAAGGTAACAGCATTTCATGTCTCTGACAAAAATCTGACAAAGTCCAAGGGGCAAGAAAGCTGCAAAGTTATGTAGTGATTTGGATGCCACAGAAGCATCAATCCTCCCTGAATCTCCCAGTGATATTTTTTTTTTCTGATTGTTGGATGCATTAGGATAAAATTTGGGCAAAATCTTGGAAGACGATTAGAATCTTACAAGCAAAAACTAAAAGGTTTTTTTAAAAAGCCAAGCTGTCATCCCTAGGAAGCAGAAGTCTAAATGCTACTTAGTATTTTAAAAATGGATTTCCTTCACATATAGATACAAACAAATAAAAATATACTTTCTTTTGCAAACATATTTTCACAAAAATCCCAAGAGTTAGAGCAACACATTCTCTTTTCTTTTTTTCCTCTTGCTTTCTTAAATATTTTCCAGCAAATGCTTCTGGTCTATCAACTGTGCAACGATAAATTCAAGACAGATGAGAGAACCAGATTTTAGCCCATTTCAACAGGCTAAAAACATTTACAGAAAATTTCTTTGGGATATAAAACACAGAATTAGTAAAGAACCAAAATAAATGTAAATGGAGGCGAATGTTTATCCTACTGTATTGGGGGGAGCGGGGAACAAAATATTTACAATCTAATTCAGAATTAGAATGTTCAGAATTGTATCGAATATGTTTTAAATGCATTCCCCAAAGCACCACATTTAAATGTGACTGTTGGGTGCTTGCAAACAATAGTCTTTCGGCAATTAAATTCACTGCCTTAAATACAGGTTTGCTTTTGGTCCTGTGTGAAGTTGTTTTAAAAATGGGATTTAAAGTCTTTTTAAAAGCTAGCATTTTTAGAAGGGAGTTTGATTCCCTCGTTTACGAAAAGCCAAGCTAAGCAGGAAAGGCTTTTATTCCAAATTTAGTAAACTGTGGTCTGATGAGCAAACTCTTACCTCAAAATTAGCTTGCTTGTTTCCCAAACTAGCATACTTTGTATTTCTCCTTAACAGTTTCAAAGCTCGGTATGTAATCTTTACATAGTCCTCCCTGAAATGGGCACTTTCTAGATATAGGGCACTACAAGTCTCATCATCCCCAGCCAAGGGTCTGTAGCTTTACAAATGAGGATGGTGCCAGGTTTGAGAAAGCGGTCCTGATGCTGAAGCCTGGGATGTCTAATGTCTCCCGTGGGATATTTCAGTAGAAAGAGCTCAGAAAAAGATGTTTTCCTCAGGGTTTTTCTTGACCAATTGAGGCTCCTGAACTTGGTCAGTTTAGGCTCCTAAAAAACTTGGTTTTGGAGAAATGTAGAAAGCTTACTAGTGCATGATGGAAAATAGATGTGTTTGTAATGGGTTTGTGGGGAACAGAAGCTCCAAGACCATAATCAGTGTCTTGTTTAGAGATAAGACAGCTGGAACGCAAAGATACAGTCCGTTGTCCTCAACAACATACTAACAGCAAGGTAAGCCACTGAATGTGATCTTATGCTCTCCTATAAAAACCTGGGCAAAGGGGAGGGAGGGAGGGAGGGAGGGAGGAAGGAAGGAAGGAAGGAAGGAAGGAAGGAAGGAAGGAAGGAAGGAAGGAAGGAAGGAAGGGAGGGAGGGAGGAATGGAAGACACCTGCAGGCACTATAGTGTTATGACCCAAGCTGTGCCCTTTTGGGAAGCATGTATGCCATGTCATGATCCATGTAGAAAAGGGGGCCTGCACAAAGTAACACTGTATGCATTACCTGACTCCTCCCTCTCCTTTGCTCCCCTGTGGTTGCAACTGGAAAGGAGGGAAACAAAACCAAACTCAAGTGCTGTGGCTAGAAGGCAAAGACCTATAGATGCAACTACTGAAAGTTTAAAATCACATAATATGGCATAATATGGCTAAAAGAATGATAATCATGTAATTGAAACAGTTCAAAGCAACAACAGTACAGTACAAAGTTGATTAACTATTTACATAGTCCACAAGCTCATTACTGATAACAACACAAAACCCACAACAGCACCGGGGAAAGCTTGGGATCCACATTCAAAAGACCTGGAGTTGAAGATTAAATTCTGTGAAAGCAGTGCTTTTTCAAAAGTGTTTTGGAGAACACTTGTATTTTTTTTTTTTCCAGAGGGTCAACAGTGGCAAAAGGAAAAAAAAAAAAAATCCTGCTCACAGTTACTCATCTTGCTTTACAAAGTAGGATTTTCCAGATGTCTTAGGATCAAGACTCCTACCCCTATCTTAAACCTAATCCCAACGGGGGATGCCAGATTAAGGCCACTATATTCTTGGAGATGTAGGGTGCGAATCTTCATAAGGCCGGACCATGGTAAGCAACGTGAGCACCTCAAAAGGCTCACAACATGCAGATGGATTCCGTGGTAAACAAGTCTGAAAACAAAAAAAACTGCACGAAGCCTGAACACTCTAAAGAAGAATTTAAAAACAATTCACCACCTGGTAACAAGCAGCGAATGCAAAGGTATTTTTGAGAACTCAATGAGGTATGATGTAGAAGCCAACACATATGCAGGGATGTTAACAACGGTTTCTATAGTTAACTGTAAAACGTGTGACGGGCACAATACAGCCATGATTTCTTTAGACGAAGTTAACACCAGAGTATGGAAAAGCAAGATATGAATGATGACCTTTCATATGCCCTTTCTTTTCTTTTAAACAAAACAAAACGAAAACAAGCATGGCGTTCCAAAATTCTCTTGTTGGGCAATCCGTATATACAACAGAAGGCACTGTTTATCCATAGAACCCCTTCAATTTCACACGGCAAAAACCTGAGAAGTGCAATTCCATTCGGTTTCCAAATAGCTGGCTCCCCCTTTCCTAAGGAGAAAGAAGAGGGGACAGATGCTTTCTTTTCAGTCCAACAACTTATAAAAATACCCACAAGAATTTATACATTACAGCAGCTGGTTAGGAAGAATGTCTTAATGAGAGGGGGAAGAGGGTCAAATACTGCCTTTTCCCCAAGGGGAAACTTGCAGGCCTCTTGATTACCTTCCCTGTTCATAAGTCACAATATTTTTTTTTAATAATGAAATGTTTTTGCACAGTTCTTTAAGCCCTTTTCCCTTCAGTTGCTTCCTGGAGCGGTGCCAAAGTTATATCCAGAGACCAGTCCTTTGTTATCAAATGGGAAGCCCGTTTGTTGTTCTATCCTCTTTGATTCTAAATTGAAAAGAAACAAACGGATATTTAGAGACAGGCTGCAAGTATATCTTCATGCGCTACTAATTTCTCTTTATACAGATACGTTAATGATATGCAGGAAAAGTCATAAACGCTTTTAAGAAGAAGAAACATTCAGACGTTTGAATTCCCCATTACAGGCACCTCTAGATCAATGATGCAACATCTTTGACTTGCAGAAAAGTTTTGGGAAAAAAAATCATGCAGGTAGAACTAAATGCTACTTCAACCTTCCCCAATCTGGGCATTCTTTAAAGGGGCAGAGCATCCAGCATTTCTATCCAACAGCAACTCCCGTTGTTGGAAATTCTAGGAATTGAAAGGAGCAGGAACTCATTGGGACAATCCCAGGAACATTGCACTAGTTCCACATACTAACTGGACACTGGGAGGTGCATTTAAGTGAAAGCATGCATGTCAAACTGCAATAAAGCAACACGTAAAGTTCCAAGTCAGACCAATTTTTCCATCCCGCCTTACTTTTTCTCCACCCATGGTTGACCAATGAGCTAATCCTTTTAACTTGGGATGCCAAGACATGAACTTGGAAACTTCTGTTTATAGAGCACATGCTGTATCATGGAAGTGTAGCCCTGAGAATGAATATCTAATCACACTGAGAAGTAGCTATGAGGCAACACTCCCCACCCCCACACACATTTTTTAACAACTGAATACAAGGAATGTTTAAACATGCTGCGTATTTAGATTCCCTGCATCCTTCTAAAGCTTCTTTGTTGCCTCTTTTGGAAATGGTGATAGAGATAGGTAGTGAAGGGTTAGGGAGGGAGGTTGAGGAAGAACATGTTTGCAGTGTCTCCCTAAACCACTATTGCGTGCAGATCGCTATATTATGTATAGCAGGGGTGTCAAACTCAAGGCCCAGAGACCAGACACCAGATCTGGCCTCTGGCCTAGTTCTGCTTAGATCCGGCTTAGATCTGGCTCATGGGTTAAAGATCCATTTTTGCTGGCAGAGGGCTGCAGGACATAATTGCAGCCAAAAACAGAGCTTGGGAGCCCGTTTTCACTGGCAGAGCACTCGGGCCACCACAGGCGCCCCTGACACAAGTGATGTCAAGCTGGCTGTGCCCACCCTGGCCCCCTGAGGTCAAACACAACCTTGAGGCGGCCCTCAATGAAATCAAGTTTGACACCCCTGAAATAAATCATGAATGGCCTGTCTCACCAGATACAGTTTACTTCTTGGCTGCTAGACAGGTCAGCTGTGTCTAAAGGAAATTAATGTCCAACTACACTTATAAGCACCTTACACTAACCTCTCCCTGACACCCACTTTCACAATGTGAAGCTTCCTAACAGTGAGGACAATTAACCAGTGGAATAAGCCTTCAGAAGTTCTGGGTGCTTCATCACTGGAGGTTTTTAAAGAAGAGACTAGACGGCCACTTGCCTGAAATGGTATAGGATCTCCTGCTTGAGCAGGGGGGTGGACTAGAAGACCTCCAAGGTCCCTTCCAACTCTATTTTGATTCTGATTCTGACTCACTGTGAATTCATTATTTTGCTTCCCAAAGCAGCTGCTCTTGTTCTCGTAAAAGGAGTAAAGAGTATGTGACGTGCCATCCCACAACTCCCAAAACTTCCATAGGAAACAATGTCCTATACATAAAAAAAAACTTCTCATAACGGACAAACCCAAACAAAACTAACTTGGGACAGTTTAGATTATTTTATAGGGCTGCAATCACTGAGAGTTCCTGTTGGTAGACTTTAGATCAGAGGTCCCCAAACGTGGCAACTTTAAGATTTGTGGACTTCAACTCCCAGAATTCTCCAGCCAGCATAGCTGGAGAATTCTGGGAATTGAAGTCCACAAGTCTTAAAGTTGCCAAGTTTGGAGAGCCCTGCTTTAGATTGTAAGCTTTCTGCAAACATTCTTGCAACAGACCTGCTGAGTTTCTCCGGAGTTCAGCTAATGCACAGATTTCCTGCAACTGAATCTTCTGATCAGCGCTGAGTGGTGCAGTCAACAAATGATACCAGCCAGCATCTCGGCTTTGTACAGCTGAAAACACAGAATATATTACTTTCGAGAGATGTGCTACTTGCCAGATTCCAAGTCTACATAATTAAATCACCATTTTCTCAAGCACAGAGACCTACTTTAAAAATGAGTATGCTGAATGGAGACTTCGGCTGTGTGTGAGATAGACAGTTTTAATATTTTTAGTGATTGATCTCCATTAACCATTCAGTTCTTCCAACTGCTTTATTTCCAGCAACATGAACTCCTTTATAAATAGTATTACATCTTGCTGTCACTCTTGAGTTCTCAGAGCACTGAATTATAGCTTTGGGCAGTGAGATGAGAAGTGTATCAATGTAATAAATAAAATAAAATATAAATTATGAAGGACAAATAAAAGTAGCAAGTTAGCTGAGAAGTAAGGGCTTACCCTAAGCCAGACTCTGAGATTCATAGCAAGATTTGAACTTGAATTTCTAATTATGATTATCCTGACTTATAATAGACTTATGTACATCTGGCTGATGATTGGCATTTAATGGACTGAATTTTGTATTGAATACTGATTACCTGTGTTTCTCCGAAAATAAGACCCAGTCTTATATTTTTTGCCACCAAAAAAAGGCAACAGGTCTTATTTTCAGGGAATGTCTAATTACTGACTCATCTCGCCGCTGCAGCAGCACCAAAAGCTCTGCCCAGCAGAAACTTGCTGCCAGCCCACTCAATCCAGTGCTATCTTATTGGCTGCAGAGGCCTTTCCAGAAGGCCTCTGATGGCGAAATGAGGCCAGGGAGGTGCCACCTGTGTCAATCCGGAGCCGATTTCTCGGCTGTAGAAGGCCTCTGATGGCAAAACGGAGGCCAGGGACGATGCATGTGAGTGGCAGCAAGCGGCCACAGAAGAAGTAGGTGCCAGGTGAGGCAGATGTCGGGGTGTGTGACGCTTGGTAAGTATGGCCTCTCCACACACTCCCCAAGCTTAATTTTTACCTGTGCATTCTGAAGTGGGCAGGTTAACTAGGGTTTATTTTGGGGGTAGGGCTTATATTGGGCGCATGGAAAAACCAAGCTAGGGCTTACTTACAGCTAGATTTTCTTTTTAAAGGAAACCTAAAGATAATAGTAATGGGAAGTACTTTAATAGACGTCTATACCTAAAAATGCTTGTGTGAAGAATTGATATTCATCCACACCATCTTCTAGATCAATAGGAGTGCTGAAGCCTTCTAAAGCAGTTTCTTCTAATGCTTCATCATCCCAGTCTTCATCATCGTCATCTTCATCATCGTCATCCCCTGTATCACCACCACCCCCAGCATGGTTCTGCTGCATCTCCTGATTTGCTTCATTCTCTTCCTCTTCATCACTTGGAATCTCTTCTGCAAATACATTTTTTTTTAAATCAAGAACAAAGAAGACAAGAAAGACAAAGATGTGTATTTTTTAACCAAAAGCATAGTTTCAAAATTAATGACTCCTCCAGGAGTACCCTATGAATAAACATTCTTTAAGTTACAATCTTGGTGACAATTAATCATGAAAACAAATTGTGTTTTTTTAAAACTGAAGAAGGCTAGTTTCTGATTAAAGACACTTCTGATTAATACAGCTCTGAAATGATCACCACACTCTTTTGAAATAACCTTTTCTAGAGAAAACTAGATTGAAGAGTGTATCAGGTGTGCAGTTGGGGATAATAACACACTTGTCCTTAAAAATAAGGAGAATATTTTTGTCTCACAGCTGAGGGAGTGTAATGGATTGATGTTGAAAGAATAACGTTCTACCAAAAAGGGGAAAAAAGCTTGCAGTTAAGAGAATAATGTCTTGGCTAGTTTGATCTAAAGTTTTCCTGTAGGGGAAAGCGCTTGGGAATATTCAAAACTGCAAATATCTTCCCTCTAAGCTTCAAGTCAATCTTGAGCCATCATGGTAAAGCGGTTGGAATTGCAGGCTAACTCTGCTCACTGTCGGGGGTTCGAATCCCTCAATCCTGACTGACTCAAAGTTGACTCAGCCTTCCATCCTTCCGGGGTTGGTAAAAGGACAATCCAGATTAACATGCTGATATTGTAAACTGCTTAGAGAGTGCTGTAAAGCATTAGGAAGTGGCATATAAGTCTAAGTGCTATTGCTATTGCTAAGCACAAGTGAATTAAATTACAAGTAGCGTGCTATTAATAAATGCTGATCGCAAAAGCCAGGAAACTGATGTTTTCTCATACCATTATCTTCTGCATCATTCTTTTCAGCTTTCCTGTGCTCTTCGTGTTCTGTATGTTGTGGTGTGGCGCACATTTGTTTTAGTCCCAGGAACAGGAGGAGAACTGATGGGACAATCTGGGCAGACACAGCGTCTACAGCAGGGGGTCGAGATGGCAGTCCCATGAGGATGCTCAGTCCGATGATGCACATCTTCCTGTCATGGAGCCTGAACGTACACAATTCACTGGTGAGAATTAATCTTCCCAACAGAATAGCTTTCAGTAAGTTAGGCGAGGATTGTGAAACATAAGGTCAGAAACATATGATGGATACTCAGATGAGAAGGTAGTTACAGAGGCTTTTAGGGAAAATCCTGAATGGATGTCCTTATCATTAAAAAAATCCACTTGCAAAATTCTATTCTAGGCTTAAATTGAGAACAATGAGGCCTGGTCACAACTCTGTTAATGACAATACCACAATATTCTTTTCCAAAGAGACCTACCACACACAATTAGGCTTTGTTTTGCTGTTGTTGTTTTTTTTAAATGATTGTAAATATTTATTATCTTACTTGTTATCTTTTTTTTATTATATTTTTCTTGGTGTTGCTTAAATGAAGTATGTGTGTGCAATATAGTATATGCGCACACTATATATTTGTATATAGAAATATAGAGATGGGTTATATTTATATCTATTATTTGGACACATATTCAGATCTTCATTTAAAGACCACTTGCTCAGTGTTGGTTCAAATGGCACTCAACAAATGGTAATCACAAACAGCCCTCGTACTTATGTTGGTTGTGTTGCTGTTTTCTTGTGATCAACAATCAGGACCTTCTTTGCAGTCTGCACATAAGTGGTGGGGAAACTGACATGGCAACTACATGATGTCATTTTAATGGCCTCAATAACAGCAACTGGAAGTGAAATTTCCATTGCTAAGCATTGCTATGATATGTGATCTCAGTTAATGACTATCGCTTAATGACAAGAAATTCCAGTTCCAATTACCATCATGACGTGAGGACTATCTGTTCACATATATTTGGATACATACATAAGCTAAAAATATATTTTTTAAAAAATATGTGCCAAAAAGGTTTGCCAACACTGCTCTAGAATGTGGGTGTCCAACTTGGCAACTTTAAGTTCAATTTCTAGAATTCCCCAGCCAGCCTGGAGGAGCTGAAGTCCACAAGTCTTAAAATTGCCAGGGCTGGACACCCTTGAATCTAGATCACATTGTGAGCCACAAAAGCCCATCTTTATATGTACAGCAAAATATCCCTAATTTTATTTGCATCTCTGCATATATTTTAATTATAAGCTGCTCAGGAAATCAATCTGGACCATATATGTGACAAAACATATATTTAGTGCCACATACAATCAATAACATGTGCCAATGATAAGTTGCCTAGCTAATGAGGCTCATCCAATTCCCTATAAAATAGGCATATTAAACGAACTGTAAAAGTCTCCCCTTTTAAATGCATTATGGTTTTAAATATCTTGATTTAATTTGGTAGATTATGTTAATGTATGTGCTTTCCCTCTGAATTTGACATCACAGCAAAATTCAAGCAAAATGAAGACTTCAAGCTGTAGCTCCGTGCACTGAATGCCACTTGTGGAGAGGGAAAAGTAAAATCATCACTATTCATACGAAGTAGGGCTTGTGAGAAAATCCTACTTTGAAGAGAAGCCTATCAATTCTATTTTTTCATGCTGATCCAAAGGTCAGTATGTGGTATTTCATGCTACAATAGCACACCTTAGGGCAGGTAGGAAAACAAGAGAATCCTGGCATTTCCTCTCAAAGTACAGTCTCCCCAAAACTCGAAGGTGTTGAAAGAGAGAGCATCATCACACACCTACCCAAGAAAACAGTCTGTATCATTCATCCACTGGTTTATAAACTGCGCGGTGATAGGCTCTGGGTTATGAGGAAACCGGATATTCTCTAAAGTGTGCAAAAGGAGCTCAGGGTTGTAGTAGAGGGCAGCAATGGCCACCTGGAGACACATGGTGCGGAGCTCGCTGGTTTTAACCCCTCGCGTTAAGCGCTCAAGCACAGCTTCTACAAACAGAGGAATGCACTAAGGAGAGAACAGACATATGGGGAGAAGTACAAAGAAAAATGAATTGGGTTATTTCAGCTATCGAGCCTATTTTAAAAAGGATTCAGCCCTCCCCTTGTTGAAATCGGTTACAATTCTGTTTCAAATGTACACGCTTCCTTAAAATGACCTTGAGGGATATATTATGTTTGTAATAACTGGATGGGATACTGGCTACAGAGTTTGCTTTGCTAAAAAATATGCAGCTATTTTTTCCCCTCCTTTCTCTTTCTCTCTCTCTCTCCTTTTAAAGGCACTGTGATAATCGCTTTTGGGATTTATTGCAGGAAATACCAGAAGCAACAGGAACTGTTATTGTCAGAGGTCAGGAAGTGAAGTATCACTCTTCTTTTTGTTCCACCCCATGGTTAGGAAATTCTTTTAAAAGGGAAAAAGAGGAGGCACTAGGTAGCATAAACCAAACTCTTCTGGTTATGTAACCTTGATTAACACCTTTTTTAAAAAAAAATACAATTAATATTCATGTGGTATAGACCAAAGCCTTTTTTTTTTGCAGGCGCTCCTGGTTTAGCAATCTCCTTTGTCCAGATATACCGGACAATATAATCCTGGTCATATATAATGTGGATTCAGGATAGTAGCCACTTTATCCCAAAACATCTGCGAGCCCTAGGTTTTGTTCTGAACTATCTCTACATTATTCATGAACCTCTCATAGCAGCATTTGGGTTTCATTTTCAAAGCTTGAGCACCATCTGATGGATGCTCTTGGTGTGGGTAGGAAGCCTCCAACTTCTGACATCCTGAATTCTTCCCCTAACTAGGTGACTAGTTCTTTCCCTTGTTTGTCCCCACCAGAGTCTCCTTCACACTTTCAACATCTTCTCAATCTTGCTGATTAGCTAGACCAGATTAATATAAGGGTCTCCAAACTTGGTAAAATTAAGACTTGTGGACTTCAACTCCCACAATTCCTGAGCTAACATGACTGGAGGAGGAATTCTGGGAGTTGAAGTCCACAAGTCTGAAAGCTGTCGAGTTTGAAGACCCCTGGTTTAATATATTCCTCTCTATTCTTTCAGGAATGGTTTAAGAGAATAAGTGACACTCTTCCTATTGCCTATAGAGACCCTCAAGGAGAAGTCACTACCATCTTTGGTACAAGGATGGGGTTGGTTTTTTTTAAAAAAAAAGAGCCTATCAAATTCCCACCCTCTGTAGAGCCAAAGCGAAGCCATGTTGAGGGAGTTTTCAAGGAATCCACATGGCTTAGCTTAACTTTCAAGGGTGTCATGAAACAGTTCCCCGGTGTTTTGCCCTCTTGTTAATAAACATTGTCAAGAAGTGAAGGCCTTCCAACTGGGAAGTCCTGGGGCCTTAGATGCTTAAAGATCAAATGGGACATTATTTTCACTCAGCTGAAAACTGCCTTTCATGCATCTGTGGAACTCTTCAGTAATCTTTCCCATGGTCTGCAGATCCTTGTGCTGCTGTGATGTTTAAATTTTCTATTGTTATTGAACTACGACTGAGGAAAGGCACGCTAGAAATTTTTTTAAACCAACCCTATTTCCCTGATGGCTCAAACAAGTGAGAAGGGAGGAATAAGGAACCCTTTTAAAACCAAACTGGATTCTTTATATATGAGACAATCCCATTCACCCACATAGGAAGAAAAAAAATGTCTGTCTACAAAGCGCCAAGTTCACCCCTCCTAAATTCTTTTTCTTAGGCATACGGGTCTCCAAAATTCTGGCTGATGTTTACAATCCAGGCAAAGAGAAAAAATTCCAGTCAATAATTACCTGATCAATACCTCTTCCTTTGCACTGCAGTATAATAATCTCTAAGAGCTTGGCTGCGTGGCACTCAGCATCTTCCCCTGCATCACCAGTTAGGACCTGTCAAATAATTGAAGATCATTTTAACCCTTCAGGTTTGTTGCAAAAAAAAATACAGACATTTTTTTCTTGGTGATTTAAAAAAAAATGCTGCAACACGTTTAAAAAAGTTGTTTAATTGAATTTGTGTAATATTTGACAACGCCTTTTCTGAATAATCAAAGAAACATTTGGATGAGTTTCCTGACACCTGAAATCACTAGATAGAAGAAAAAAATAGCACTCAAACACAGAAGTGCCAATTATGTGTCTGGTTTTGAAAACTAAGCAAGGTTATTTCTGATCAGGCAATTAAAAACACCCTCTTTCCATATTGTTTCAAGAAAACATGAAGTCACCATGAGTAAAGTTCAATTTTAAGGAATGCTTATGTTATTCTAAAATAAGACACAGTTGTCCTGTCCAAGTATTTGGCCTTAATAATGTAAATATTTATATTTACAAGGAACAACGTTACCCAAGCTAATTCTACTTCTAGTGTATTAAATGAAGAGAAATGTTGCCTTCATAGATTATTTGAATGTGACGAATCTCCAAGGGACCAGACACTTGTTTGGCCTTAATATCTAATCAGGATTAGAACATTGAAAATGGGTGATTTTAAGATATTTCCATAAGGGGTGTGCTGATTATATTCCAACATTTTATTTATTTATACTACTTTTACTTATTCATTTTGAACACTTCCAAATCCACATAGATACACAGCAGTTTACGAAATAGTTAACAAAGACCTCCATTAGCCGTTAAAAAAAATGTCCACGGTCAATAATAAAATGACTAATAACTAATCAAAATTGATTCTATTGTAAATGATAAGTAACTGATATATTTTTTTTCAACCAGGAGCAGCATTCTCCAAATCAGATCAGATCTCTTTATAAGAACTGTTGAAAAAGAAAATGTTCCACAGGAATCGATGAATGAAGTGAAGCAAGTAAAGCCACATTTTTCATTCGGTTCTCAGGTCCGGTTTCTCAGATTTATAGAAGCTTAATAGAGCAAAAAGTCCCTTTAATCCAAAACCCGTGAGTCAAAATCATCAATCTTCATACAGAGCAATCTACGCTGCATAGACCTCCATGAGCTACAAGCAGAACAAATGCAGGGCAGAGCCTCTCGTGATTCAAATGTAACAAATCAAGGCATAGCCTTTTGCGGATGGAAGATAACCCATATTTTCCTCAGCAGGAAGCAAGAGTGGGCTATCAAGAAGAGAACTTATATTAGTCAGAAGTAGAAAAAAAACATAGGGTTGTGAAAACAAAAATGACAAAAGTATTCTTGCGAATGTACGTTATGTACGATATGAATGGCAAAATGAAAGGAAGTGAAGAGCTGGAAAGGATTCCTTCAAATGGAAGATTCCCTTAAAGCAGGAGTGTCAAACTCATTGCCCATAGGCCGGATGTGTCATGTGCTTGCCCCGCTCCCACCCAGTTTAGTGAAGGGGAAAAAAAGTCCCGATATGTCATGTGACGCCTTAAAAAAGTATCCACTTCTAAATCATTACATGAACAGTGCATGCATACAGAGGTGGTATTCAGCAGGTTCTGACTAGTTCTGGAGAACTGGTAGCGGAAATTTTGAGTAGTTCAGAGAACCAGTGGTAACCTTCCCCTGGAGTGGGGTGGGAATGGAAATTTTACAGTATCCTTCTCCTGCACGCCCACCAAGACACACCCACAAGCACGCCACTCCCACCAAGACACACCCACAGAACCGGTAATAAAAATTTTTGAATCCCACTGCATGCATACTACCATCAGCAGAAAACAAGGGCAGGCATGAGCTCTTGGTTATAAAAAATAAAAATTTAACTGGAGACAGTCTTTTATTTGTTTCTGTCTGTTCTGGCCTTTACACAACTATATTATACTTGTGTTCTATCATGAATAAGTCTTAAATGTAAATCTTCTTACCCTAAACCAAACACCTTAATCAGTAAGCTACTGTACATGTACTACAGACTGGAGGTCTGAATAAGGTAAAATTAAACATTGAATTATTATGAAAGCAAAGCTAAAGATATCTACTTAAACCATACTTTTCATTCACGTTCTCACATTCACCATGGGCAGCAGGTTGATCAAAGTACGAGCAACTTCGAAAACTTACCTTTTTACACATGGTATAAATTATCTCCAAATTTTTGGAATTTGACAATAAAATATCAGTGTCAACAGTGACGTAGTTGTGCAATAGGGGCATCATATCTAGAAGGAGAAAAAAGTTCATCCTGAGAATGAAATAAATTAATGTACCTTACAGAATTGTCCTTGCTTTGCTTCATAATCACTCACTCAATTCATTCATTTGTAAATTCTTTAAAACTCTATATTTAGCACATACACAAGGTCATGACATGTGAATGTACTGTAAAAATATTTATTCGATTTATTCAGGCCCTCCTAAGAATTTCAGAAAAGCGTATGAGACACGATCCCCACATTATGCTCACAAGGACTCCAGATAACCTTTGAACCACAACTGAGGCTCAAAATCCCAATACAAACTTCCCCTCTCTTCATTAACAACATATCCAATAATATAAAGCAAATAAAGGCAAAATGAAGGTAGCTAATATAGATTGCATTATTTATTCTGGGCTAAACTTCCCTTTTTATATGAGTGTGGGGCTGTTGCTAGAAAACTTCTTTTAAGAAAGGAACAACATTGGATCAATGCTGGGCATGGCTAACGGGGAGGAATATTTCTTTGTTCTAATCTTCCTCCTCTCCCATGGAAAATTTAGCAAGAGGATCTGAAATGAATCTCTTCACCCAGGGAACTCTTCACCCAGGGCAGCAGGCACATAAAGCCACCTTTACCAGGACATGCCTGACCCCACTTTTCCTCCCTTTCAAAAAACAGAACCCTTCAACTGGAACAAGAAGCCAAGCCTTAGTGAAACCCGATCTTCTGCTGAAAGCAATAAAATGGGACTGGGTACAGGTAGGCCTTAAATTAGAATTACAGCCATAAGTTCTGATGGTTAATGACCACCATAGCTGTTGAATGAGTACAGTGGTTATTAAACTAATTCATTTTATCCAATGACCCCTTTTTGTACGAAGCCAGAAGTAAAGGCTGGAAACCGGCAAAAAATATTATGGGATGGGATTGTGGGATCCTGCAAGCAGCTGTAAATGCGAGACAGGTGCCAAGCACCCAAAATGCAATCTTGCGACTGTCATATGTGTTCAAACGTGTGCAGCTGTAGAACTCCAGAACCAGGTCGTAGGTCCCATTTTGGGGTCCACTGTAACTTTGAACAATCACTAAGCCACTGGTCGTTAAGCGAGGACAACAGGTATAAAATTTAGCATATTAAGAATCTTGACTTTCTCCCTTGCTGTACGTTATCCAAGGTTTCTAGTCTTGTAAATGACATAAAGCAAACTGGGATAACTCTTAGAAGTCAGATGATTCATTGAGTACATTCTGGCTAGCTCAGCGGGCAAAGCCTGAATACGGTCCTGATCTTCCTCACAACCAGCAAAAGTCTGACCCCAATATACAATCTTGTTCGACTTCGGTATTTTAAAGGCGCGCACAACTCTACACTGGATACTTAAGCAAATCTAATCCTGAATTTATAGCACTGGGGGAACAAATCAATGTGCTTCCTCTAAGACAAAGTGACAATTGAAACACTTCATCACAACGTCCCAAACCACTGCTAGCCAACGTTCTTCTATGTTCAATTTATTCCTGCTATTGATCGGTGCTCTTTTCGAGCAAATGGTAAAGCTCATTACCTGCAAAGTACTCGAAGCAATCTTGTTGAAACACTTCATATAAGACACCCAGGAGGTGCCACATTTGGGGTGAAATAAGATGGCATGTCAAGCTGTATGCCAGAGAAAGAATTTCTTCGTAGAACTCTGAAAGGGAAAGGGGGAATCAAGCAAACAGACATAAGAGATATAGAAAAAAATGCCAGCAAATGCCACCCAGCCTATGAAAAGCTATTTTAAGTGAATTAGAAAAGATCTTCGTAATGTATTCTGATAACACATTTCCCAGGCCTGCTTGGAGGCTAGCACCGCATTTATTGGCATTGTACAATCTTAAGCTTAGAATTAAAATACTGCATTTGCTAAATGCCAATAAAGATGCTTTAGTGGGACTAAATAGATTTCCCTATGGCTACACAATATGCCTCTAAATTTCCTTTAACATGGAATAAATAATGCCTACAGGTTTAATTTGTGTTTACTAATGTGCCTAATATTATATGTATGCTTACTTCTAATTAAAGCATATCTCAAGATTTTTGGAAAGAAGACAGGAATGATTTAGAATGCAATAAGGAAACTTTTGAGAGACAGCTAGTTCTGAGGTAAGTTTATTTAAACTTAAACTAGTTTTCCTTCCAACTGTAGCACTTAAATCCTAAATCCTAAAATCCATTCTGGAGGACTGAATCTCTGCTGGAATAGATTAGGAGAACCTGCAAACATGATGGGAGACGTGACCATGAATGGACACCTCTGCTACTCACAGACACTTATCACGAGATTCTACCCTTAGTGATATTACAGGGAAAAGATGGGAGAAACCAAGCAATACTTCCCCACTATTGTAGAAATACCCAAAGGCCATCCCGATTCTAGAGAAGAATTTTAAATATAAGCAGTCAACTTTAGGAATAGGCCATTGACAAAGGGTGACATTGCTTTCCTCTAAATCTGCTACTTCAACAATTATTCTCAACTTTTTCCCTACCGAAATTATATTCAACGATATTCTTCCACAGATAACATATTATCTGAAATCTATGAGCAGTGTCCCAATATTTGAGTGGCTGCCACAAAGGAGAAAGGATCAAGCTATTTTCCAGAGCACCAGAAGGGAAGACAAGAAACAATGGATGGAAACAAAGGAGAGAAGCAACTTAGAATTAAAGAGAAATGTCCTAACACTTAGAACTATTAATCAGTGGAATGATTTGCCTTTGGAAATTGTGGGTGCTCCATCACTGGAGGTTTTTAAGAAGAGTATGGACAGCCATTTGTTTGAAATGTTTAGGGCAGTGGTGGCTAACCTTTTTGGGCTCATGTGCCAAAAACTGCGCACCCGCTTGCACACTCATACTCGTGTGCCAGCACCCAGAAGGCAATGCACGCGCCCCCCCATGCCCTCTATGCATGCGTGCGCAATCCCCACCCATCCCCACCGCCCCCTTACCTGCACTGTGCTGATTTTCGGCTGGTTTGAGGCCTTTTTCGGCCTCCCAAAGGCTTGAGGAAGGCTTCTGTAGGCTTCTGCAGGCTTTGCAGGCCGAAAACTAGCCCTGTTTCATCACTTCCGGTATTTTCAGAAAAACAGGAAGTGATGAAACGAGGCTAGTTTTCAGCCTGCAAAGCTTGTAGAAACCTGCAGAAGCCTTCCTCAACCCTTTGGGAAGCCAGAAAAGGCCTCAAACCAGCCAAAAATTAGCTGTGAGGCGCACGCATGCCCAGTGAGGTAAGTTTGCCTGCAGCTTACGTGCCAGCACAAATGGCTCTGCGTGCCATAGGTTCACCAGGTTCACAGGTTTACGGTTTTCTGCTGAAGCAGGGGGGTTAGACTAGAAGACCTCCAAGGTCCCTTCCAACTCTCTTATTCTGTTCTGTTATGAAGAAGATTGTAAGTCCAATGTAATTTAAACTGAAGTCCCATTTGTCAAGTTTCATATTCTTATGTTTGGTTCTATTGTCCCTCCCCTTTCTCCAGCCAGAAATGAATTGGCTATAGAACGTGTTGCACTCTAATAATGAATAAACAATAAAGTATGACTTTATAGTAAGTTTGGCTTAAGTCTAATCTAGATGGAGGGAAAATGGACAGGGAGCTGCCTCACTTGTTACAGAGGGTAGAGAATAACTTCACACACTGCCACTTTAAATAAGAAGGCAAATATTATCCGAATGGCTTTTCAATGTACCTATGACATGCTTCTGCAAGACAAGACCAATGATTTGCAGGCAAATGCTCTCCAGCTGTTGAGTTATCTGAAGAAAAGAAAGAATCTACTTAAGTAAAGGAAAGAAAAAAGACATTTTTTCTTAAATAAGCAACTATTCTAAAGCAAGGAGTTTTCCTAAAAAGTCAAGCGAAAAGCTCTCCATATTTAAAGTATTTTACATTATTACTAGGTGAAAATTGCATGCAAATGTCTCATACATTTTTAAGTCTACACTGCCATCTCCTGGCACACACTGTTTCCTTCATTTACTGAAGGAATTTCTGTATCACATCTTATTGCAAAAACTCTGAATTCAGTTTTCAAATGGTTGAGAAGATTCACCTCCTTGTGATCCTGCACGACAGTTAGGATTGTGTCAATTGTATGCAGGATCCCCATGGCCATAACAGTTTTATCCTCCATTTCTTCATATTCTTCACTCTGAAGAACTTTACCAAAAATCTCTGCCTAAAGAAATTAAATGCAGAAAAAAAACCTGACATCATAAATCACAAAATCCTCAGTCAACTTCAAATTTGCATTTGGAGTTTTTTTTTTTTTTTGAATAATTAGAGGTTTGCTTACCCACCCCCCACCCCCCCCCCACCCACCCCCCATGAAATAACACTTGTTTTTTACTTTTGCATAAATGTGGTGCTCTTGCAGTCCACTAGCACATCATCCATGTCGGTGCCATTTTGCAATGCTTTCTGCTGCATTAAGCTTACAGTGCAACACTTAAAATAGTGTCAGGGTTCTAAGTAACATACCCATAGCAAACAAAACTCTGAGGCAATCAAATTCCTCAAAGAATAGATTTATTTGGATATGTCTTATTGGCATGAGCTGGGGAAAATTGACTCTGAATATTCCCATGGTTTTCACCTAATTAAAAGCAAAGATTTGTCAAAACAACTGATCAACATGGCCCAATCAGGATACTGTCCAGTTGCTAGGTGACTCCAATCCTCTCCTTCCAAACACCTGCAGGTTCCCACAAGAAAGCATTTTGTTTTGGCTACACCACCCCAACTATCTCTATTCTCCCCTCTCTCTTTTCTTCGGTGTGTCAGCGCTGAAGTCTCAAAATGGCCTCAGTCAGGCCAGCTTCAGGATTGACAAATAGAAGGAGAAAAGAAAGAAAGGAACCTATGCATATTTTGGCACTATTGCTACTCTGAATAAAAATTTAGTTTGGAAATATTGACTAAGGCAGGCCTGTCAAATTGACAGCCCGCACACCAGATACGTCACTCACAGGCCACACCCACCCCAGCTCCGCAAAGGCAAAAAAAATTGTGATATGTCACAATCCGGTCCATGACATGATCGAGTTTGACACCCATGGACTAAGGCATTCATGTAAGAGAGAGATTTAGGATGTATGGAATTAAACTGTCTAAAAAAAACAAGTATGTGGCCAAAGAGTCAAATGAGGAAAAAGGAGAATCCAGATGAGGTATTAGAGGAATTTCAGAGACATTTTTTTAACCCTTTTCAAAATTAGTACAGAAAATATTAACATTTGAAAAGGATATTCCAAAAGGGAAACAAAGGCAGTGCCGATTACAACACATTTGCAGTATTCTGAAAATATTCCTGAACTGGTTAACTGGCCCCTCTTAAACCAAAGAACAACATTCTTTTATTATGTTCAAACTGCAAAAGGTTTATCTGCCTGTGTAGAATCTAACTGCTAACCTTCTATCTGTAATGGTGTGTGGGAATGACCTTGGGAAAGGGAGGGAGGAAAGAGATGCTACTTAGGAAATGATCAGATAAGGTGGGAGAATCCGCAGAGGGTCAGAAAAGGAAACTCAGAAAAGATTCTCCCTAACTTATCAGGGTGTGGCAGGAGATTTCTGCCTTCAGACTTGCAAGATTCTGTTAATGTAGCCTTAGAATAAAGTGGAATTAGCTCATCTGGCTGCTTGGACTACCTGGGAGGGCTGACACTGTCAAGCCAGAGATTAAATAAAATATTGCCTGGAACTTAGTTGAAAATGCCTCACTTCACTCTCATTCTGAAGTCTTCAGGGACAGGGGACAGGTTTAATATGTTTGGTTTTTTTCCAAATAAATGACATTATTTTCCTCCCAACAGGAAAATTAAGTCAAGACTAATCTTCAGTAAATTAAAGTGATAATTGAATCATTTCAGGATGATGTATGTTTGTACAAAGGGACTAAAACAAGTTTTATCAGTAGCCTTCATCCAAAACAGAATCCCTGTCCCTCACTTACCAGATGCTGCGTCATTTCCACAGCAATTGTTGTTACTTCTTGGCTGTATTCACAAATCAGCTTCTGAATTACATTGGTAAGATCATCGTTCTGAGTTTCTCGAACTACAAGCAACAGCTCCTGCATGACAGGCCTGATGTAGGGCTTAATGTATTCCTTTGCTAAAAAGAAACCAAACATACATTCAAACATAACAGGGGAGGGGGATTAAAATAGATACAGGAAGTTTTAGACTCGTGGCCACAATTGAGCTCAACGTTCTTCTTGTTAACTGAGACATTTCTTAAGTGGCTTTTGCCGTTAAGTTAGTAACACGGTTGTTAAGTGAATCTGGCTTCCCTGTGGACTTTTGCTTGTCAGAAGGTCGTGAAAGGGGATCATGTGACCCCAGAATGCTGTGACTGTCATAAATATGAATCATTGGCCAAGTGTATGAATTTTGATCTTGTCACCATGAGGATGCTGCAATAGTTGTGAGTCACTTTTTTCACTGGTGTTGCAACTTTGAATGGTTATTAAATGAATTGTAAGTCGAGAACTAAAATATCTGCTTCTGTCAGTGAGCTCTTAATTGTACTTGGTATCCTTCTTTTGTCTTCGGTAACAATGTTCTTTATTTCTACCTATCTATCTGCTGTTTTTTTTGCCAAAAATTACATTAACAGGAAATTTGGAATCTAAAAAAAGCATCCTATAAGAAAGAGATGTAAATCACTTCCATACTGTTGACCAAAACCCCTAAATTCATAAATTTATGAAATCACCAGGAAGGCTTACTCTAATATAAATTATTATTTTTAAAATGTTGTGAAACTAATATCTGTTATGGTAGCAATCCCTATCTTTAACCACATCTAAATATATATAGCCAGTAAGACAAAATCTGAGACAAAAGGAAGAGTAAAAATAGAAGCCAAAATAGTTTAATATTAATTTTTAAGTATATTGAAAAAACAAGAAAGAGTGTAATCCATAAACTAAGGAAAGTGTTTGATAAGGAGAGATGGAGGATGGATGGACGGATGGGAGGGAGGGAGGGAGGGAGGGAGGGAGGGAGGGAGGGAGGAAGGAAGGAAGGAAGGAAGGAAGGAAGGAAGGAAGGAAGGAAGG